GGAAAAAGTACGGCAGCACGCCATCGACACCAGTTGCCGGATCGTGATAAGCGAAGAGTCCGATAGAACTTGTGGGAGGCTGGACGGTTTCAAGCCCGCACCCACCTAATACATTGCGGTCATTGCCGTTTGAACAGTCTGTCCTTTTACTGACGGATGCTGCTGTCTACTGCTGTCGTTTTGACTGGGATACGGACAAAGTTACTTCCTTCGAGCGCATCGACCTTCGCTCCATTACCAACATCAATTACGGCACTTACATTACCTCAACTTTAACCGATGCCCAAATGGACCCGAACCATAATGTCGGTGTCGTTATAACTTACCAACCAGGCGCGACAAATACGCTACGCGTAAACACACGCTCCCTCCACAGCCTCTTTGACCAGATATCACAACTATCCCCTGCATCCCCTGAATCTGCCACGAACAATCCCCTGACCCCAGGACCGGATTGGGACATTACCTCGCTATTCAAAACGAGCGTCAGTGGCAACAGCAGACTCCCAGCCTCGCGTATTTTGGCGTTCAAAATCCTCCCACAGACTAACATAGCTGCAAGGAATGCCCTTGATAACGTGCAGGTCAGCGAAAATGACGCTGCGCGTGCTCTCAGCGAAGAGATTGAGCGCACTTGCATGCGGGGCGCGCCGGATAAAAACGGCGCTGCCGATACAGGCGGCTCGGGGCGTGTTCATAAACATACAATGGTTGAAGAGAGGGAGATCATCTCGACGGCTAGTGCGAAGAAACGGACGGGATATTTGGAGCATTTGGTATTTGATATTAAGAAGCTAGTATGGGCTTGAGGTTTTACTGGTGGCTCTCTCTTGGACATCATTCTCCCTTCCGGGAACGGGCAATGTGGGTGTGGATTCCCAATTTTGATTTCAACTTTTTCCTCTTTTCCTTGTATTTATTTATTTTTTATTTGGTAATTTTGTCCCATGCCAGGCACCAGGCATATTTTACTTTCATTTGTTTTGTGCATTGCATCATACAGTTTGATACCCAAGTCGGAATAGTTTGGCCTTCTCTTCTTTTCATATATATACCCATGTACTTGTACATATCCATCCATACAATTATACATACGCTGCTGAAGAGCATCGGATAATATATAGAACGTAGTATTATTCTATGTTATTGTTTCAAAGTACAAAGAGCTTTTGTTTCCCTTAGTGGCTCCCAAAAAAAGATACGTGTCACCTTAGCATAAGATTTCGCCCTATTTAATCCGCAGGCAGGTTAAGTAGTTCCAATAGAATATCTGTTTAATCTACAGGTCTCATCAGCCTTGGTCTCCATCGAACGGCGGTTATTTCCGTAGCGGCCACATGCTTCGCGAGATCGGCCCAAACCGCCAGATTGTCCCTATGTAGTCGCTCTTCAGGGAGTAGCCGCTTCCGCCGATGGGTATATGCCTGCATATATAGTTTTGTATATTGAACCACAAGCAGCATCAGCCAGAAATTGGAACTCATCTCGGCTTCACGCGATCCCACGGGCTGAAACATTTCACATATTAGGTTTGAAAGCAAGAGTTTCTGACACGACACGCAGGTTTTCCATGAAATTAAGAAGCTCGACCCAAACACGGATTTTAGCTACATGATCTTTGTTTTCAGTGTCTTGACACCTGCGACAGGCTCGGTAGACTGAATATTCCAAGAACGGACAGGGATCTATAATGAAAGCCTAATATGCGTTCCCCTACCTTTTCGGGGGCCAAGTAATATGTCCTGAAGGTCGTGAGAATGAGCAAACAACGTCCCCAAACCAACATCAAATGGATGTTTGAAATATACTTGACATGGTCGAACTTTGTCCGGGTTCCCAGGTATGCGGAATTGCTCGTTTCCCGTACCCTATGCATCGCTGATTTTGCAGACTTCTCACGCAGTCCCTAATTGACGTTTTAAGTTAGTTCTTGGCGGTATATCAACGCCATGGCTCATGCCGTGGCTTAGGCGGTTGCGATTGACATATGTGTTGGTACCTGAAGCACCAAAAACACAAAGGAAGATCTCAGCCGGCAATTCCCCGTGCGCCCCCGCACTGCTGGGTGCTTTTGTTCCCTTGTTCCCGTGGTTGAGAGGGAAATAAAGTTGCGAAGAAGCGTTGTTCGTGGGTTCGTTGTTGGTTGAACGGATCCAATGCAGATGCCAAGCCCCAAAATTCTGCCGCCTGCCACCGCTCCGTTAGCCGCATCGAGAGCATTCCCACCACCGCCAACCCTCCACTGGCCCTCACCACCAGCGACGTCTAAAACTCCCACCGCTTGCAGACAACCCTGCGCGCACTTTTTGTCTTGATTTTTCTGTCTGGCTTACGACGAAGCTTTCCTAGAGAAATCCAAGCCGCTAATCTTTGAGTGGTGTCCGTACAGTGATATCCCTTCTGCAGATCTCCACCCTATCTCTTACACCCCCACCATCTCACAGAAGTCAAACCACACACCTCATCAACGAACATTTAAATACCCGCGAAAACCCAAACCACGGGGCGGGCGGCCTTGATTTGGGAGATTCCATATTAGCGATAGAGAGGCACCTCTCTTGAAGCTTCTCCTGAGCATTACTGTTCAGTGATAATTGAATCTTTATCAGAGCTCCCCATCGCTCTTAAGTTGGTATTAACATTGGCTATACCCCTGCCAATTTTTATCGCAATGGCATGGCAACCGCAGGACGAACCATTGAGGCAATTGGCTGGATTTCTACATGATTCATTGAACGGAAGCGATGGCTCTACACGAAAACATGCTGAACAGGTATGTTTACAGAACCCCTCTTCCCTCTACTCCGATGTTTTGCAACCCCCTCTCCCCTCTTTGCGAATGGTGCTTTGTTGTATAGTAAGAATTGTTAAACGCTATAAATATCTTTGGTTTCCTATTTGGTGGTGTTTTAAGCTGACAGTTATTATTTGATAGATGCTGGTGCAAGCTACAACCTCCCCAGATTTTGCAAATTATCTCACCTACCTGTTCAGCACGCCCCAACCACCTTCTAATATCGGGTTTGATCTTCACACTTATAATGTCATTCGGATCGCAGCGGCATTGAACCTAAAAACTAAACTTAGAGTCGCGTATGGAACTGTTACACCAGAGAGTCTGGAATATATTCGCTCATCTGCGCTCTCAGTACTCCAAGACCCTTCCCCGCCGATTCGCAATTCGGCCGGCTCCATAATTGCAGAGATCGTCGCGCGAGGTGGCCTTCTGGCATGGCCAAATTTGCTGGATGAACTTCTTTCCCTGGTCTCGAATTCTTCGGGATCTGTGCCGATGTTAACCCAGGAGGCAGCCATGTCAGCTCTGTCGAAGGTCTGCGAGGATAATAAAAAGCTGCTGGATAAAGATTTCCAGGGTCAGCGACCATTAGATATTATTCTCCCGAGGGTAATGCAATGCACATCCAACCCTAGCCCAAGAATTCGCTCTACCGCTCTAGCGACAATCCACATGTTCCTTTCGCAAAGACCAAATATTTTAATTGGCTCATTGGATACTTTCCTTGGCCATGTATTCCAGCTTGCCAGTGACCCAAATACTGATGTTCGGAGGATGGTATGCCAGTCTTTTGTTCAGCTAGTGGATATCGCCCCGGATAACCTCATTCCTCACCTTGGTGGGCTGGTTGACTATGTGCTCATGCAACAGCATGATCCCGAGGACCCGGAATTGGCTTTGGATGCAGCAGAGTTTTGGCTGGCCATTGGGGAGCAGAAAAAATTACATGAGCCGTTAGTGCCATATTTAAGTAAAATTATACCTATTCTTCTTCGCAGCATGATATATGACGAGGACGACGCGATACTTTTAGCTGGAGAGCATGATGACGCCGAAACCGAAGATAAGGTAGAAGATCTGAAGCCTCAATTTGCTAAAACCAAAACCTCTCGGTTACAGTTGACTGGTGGTGATGACAAGCCCAATGGTGATGTCAATGAAGCTGGCGCAGATGATGATGATCTGAGTGAGGGAGAAATAGAAGATGATTTGTACGAGTATGGAGACGATGACCCCGAGGCGGAATGGACATTACGAAAATGTTCAGCAGCGGCACTGGATGTTTTCGCCAACGTGTACCATCAACCTGTTTTCGAAATCATATTGCCGTATCTCAAAGATAACTTGCGGCATGCCCACTGGACGAATCGAGAAGCTGCTGTGCTAGCGCTCGGCGCTATTGCAGATGGCTGTATGGATACCGTTACACCTCATCTACCAGAACTCGTCCCTTACCTTATATCCCTCCTTTCAGATCCTGAACCAATCGTTAGGAAAATTACCTGTTGGTGCCTCGGTAGATATTCGGAATGGGCTGCTCACCTTGATGCGGCTGAAAAGACCCAATTTTTCGAGCCGATGATGGAAGGGATCCTGCACAGGATGTTAGATAATAATAAGAAAGTCCAAGAGGCAGCGGCATCAGCGTTCACGAGTTTAGAAATGAAATCGGACGCGAATCTTCTGCCCTATTGCCAGCCGATATTGCGGCAGTTCGTTCTCTGTTTCGAAAAGTACAAAGATCGCAACATGTACGTACTTTACGACTGTGTCCAAACTTTGGCTGAAAGCGTTATGTCCGAGCTAGCGAAGCCAGAACTGGTGGATATCCTTATGCCTGCACTTATCCAGCGATGGAACAAATTATCCGACCAGTCCAGAGAACTTTTCGCATTACTAGAATGCTTGGGCTACGTGGCTGCTGCTTATGGTGATGCTTTCTCTCCCTTTGCTCCTCCGATATTCGCCAGATGCATTAAAATTATATACACGAATATCCAGGATTATCTTACCGCAGTGAATCACAACACTGGTGAGGAACCTGATAAAGATTTCCTGGTAACAAGTTTAGACATGCTCGGTTCGATAATCCAGGCTATTGATCCCCAGAAAAGCTCAGAACTAGTAACCAGGTCGCAACCACCATTTTTTGAACTTCTCCGCTTCTGTCTTGAAGATTCCAACTGGGAAGTACGGATGTCATCATATGCCCTTCTTGGAGATTGTGCAATCAATATTTTCCCTACTCTTGCACCCGTCCTTCCTACAATAATGCAGATCCTAATCAAACAGCTTGATCTCAACCTAATAAGAGACGATGAGTCTGAGAGTGGTCTTCGTGTGATAAACAATGCTTGCTGGGCTTCAGGCGAGATTGTTGCCGCTAGCAAAGATGGGATGGCTCCATTTCTAGAAAATCTTTTCCAGGCTCTCACCGCAATCATGAGCAACGAAGAAGTTCCCGATTCTGTTAACGAAAATGCAGCGATGGCTTTGGGTCGCTTGGGAATCGGATGCGCTCAACAGCTTGCCCCGCACTTAGGAGAATTTGCAGATATGTTCCTCCGATCAATGACCAAAATCGACTTCACCCGCGAGAAGGCAAGCTCGTTCTTTGGATTCAATCAAGTCGTCCGGGAAAACCCAAAGGCTATGGAAAGCTGCCTTTCGGATTATTTCCATGCAATTGCCGTATTTCCGCGTAAATCCTTGAATCAGCCTCACTTCGAGGACTTACAACAGTCGTTCCAGCAGGTGAGGAACATCTATATCACCCATAGACTCGGCCCCTACTTTCTTATTGACACATTTAAATATGCGCAAAAGTCTAATGTACAGCCAACTATATAGGTGCTTCAAGGATACAAAGACCTAATCCCGGACTTCAACTCGTTTATGGCCTCCCTACCCCCTGCCATTTCCAGAAAACTCCAAACTGCGTATCAACTCTGATATATCTGGCGCAAATATGTTAATCTAATTTTCGTAATCTATTAAGAAACACGAGATAGC